TCGTACGTCTCCTCGGTGTTTCCTCCATGGTCCTCGTTTCCTGTGGCCTTGGTTTACCAGCTTCTAGTTGTTATGCTTTGTTTCTTGTTTCCTGTATTTGAGTTTTTCACAGCGCAGTGAAAGCTGCCTCCTTTAGTTTCTCTGTGTCCTGTGAGTCCTGCATTTGGGTCCACGCTCCTGCCTGCCACACAGCAAACGTGATTGAGTGTGGTTTAGGATTCAGAGCCGTGGTAGAAGCAGGCAGAGCGGGACTTCCTCTGGCCTCATGGCGGCCCCCGGGCTTTACCCTGACATATGTTGGTCCTGGTTTATCGGGCCGGGGCTTTGCAGACGTAACGACCTGTAAGGACAGAAGATGGAACGTGTGGAGAAGGAGGCCTTGGCTACGATGCTGTCAGTGATCGGGGTCAGGCTTCCGTTTAGGTTCACGAAATTTCCCACACCTGCCCGTCATCGTGTGAATGCAGTGATCTTTCCGCTGCAGTAACAACAACATCATTAAAAAAGTGGAACAGATGAAACAAACTGTGCAATAAAAGCACCGACGAGTGCTGATCTGAGGTCAGATAAGCTCATGATAGTAAGTAGGTTAACACAGTCTAGCAGGATCCTTCCTGCGTCTCTGACCTGTGAAGAGACGGGCCGATGAAAAGATAAGAGCGTCACATATCGTCGTATCGATGAGGAGATCAGACCGACAGCCCCCCTCCTCCTCTGGGAGGGAAGTCTGAGCCGCTGTGATTGTCAGGAGGAGACGCGCTGCTCTGTGAGAGGCACAGGTGATGATCATCATCACGCCACATGTTTCTGACTGAGAGCGATGAGTGCAGTAACACAGCTGCTGCTGTCAGCTGTCCTGTTTGCTGCACAGCTACGAGGCCGTGTTTGCAGCGCAGAAAACCTGCAGTGACAGATCATTGTGTCACTGTACAGGTGTGTGGAAACCGACACACCTTCAGGCGGTGAGGAACACTAAACGTGAATCTGTTGCTCGCAGCTCAGGAAGCTCCAGGTGTGTCAGGTGTAC